CCCCCCCCCCCCCCTGTAGTTCTATTATTGCAGATAGACCCACTGAGTGAACTTTTTTAATTACTCTTTTACCCGCAGAGAAAGAAAATTTCTTTTTTGTGAAATAGACCTTAGGGTACAAGAGTAAAGAAAGTTCACCCAGGGGTCTATCCGCAGCAATAGAACCAAAGGGTCTGTCCACAATTTGGCAAATATACAGGGGGTCTATCTGCAATTAACTCTTTTTAGTTTGAATTTTGAAGACATTTTTAAATTTTGGCGAACAATTTGGACTAAGAATGAATGATATTACACAACATAATTATATATTTTTGTGTTCATCAACATGCTTGTAAGCTAGCAAAAGCAACTTGTTAGCTAGCGAAAACAACTAGTACAGTTATTGATTATTCATAAACAACTAAACAAGCATTCCATGCACCATCTGTAAATATTTGAACAATTGAACTATTTCAGGGAAAGCAATTGATCTTTCTTAATTTTTAATTGCCTTGAATACCTTTCTACAGATATCTTAAACAGTCAGGAAGCTAAGTACCTTGAGTAATTTTGAGATATTTTTTATCAGTAGTTGATTGACTATTGTGTTTGGTGTTTGCGAATATTTTACCCCCAATTTATGCCCAAAAACGTATCTTCTAAGATTGGAACTAATCCTGATATAATGATGATATCTAATATTGTCTTTTAAATTCCAGACACGCGTGTCTATGTTGATTGCTTGTACACCATGATGGGTACCCTTTTCATAATTTTATACACAATGTCATGTGGCTGTAAGGGTCATGCATGTGTATTTTCCTATAGATGAAGTACTCGTATATCTATATTCTTTTTGCTCCTTTTTGTTCCTACCTCTATCGCTTTAGCTTGCTGCGCTGCAGGTGTAATGGAATCTCACTTGGTTGCTGAAGTTGCAGATGGCTCATCAAATGTCCGGGAGGTGTGGAAGTTTTCATATAAAGAGGCTTAAAGCATCATCTCTGTGTAAGCAAATTTCGAAAAGAAATTGGTTTATTTTTAAAACTCAGGTATGATATATAAATAAATTTTAGTGAAAACCAAGATCTACCTTGCTGAAATACTTGGACTTTGACTCTTGCATGTTATTTTGGAGAGTTGCTAGGTGATAAATTTGCTCTTTTTTTCTTTTTGTTTCCTTTTCAAACTCAGATAGCTTTTTAACTGATTTAAATAGTATAAATTCACTTGACAATTGTAATAAGAGAAGGTCATGATTTTATAACAGAAGACTGCTTAAAGTGTTTAGAACCAATAAGCGTTCAGAACCAATAAACTAACATATTTATTCATCTTCCACACCTCCTGTTTAAAACTGAAACAAGAAATTTTAAACTAAGACCATGAAATTATAGACTAGTGAGGAGATTATTTAGAACACCTGGTTTAAAATTCTGAAAGAATCCACCATTTGCTCAATCAAACCCATTTGCCAATATTTTTGCTATATTAATTTGTACCTTACTTAACATCATAACCAGTGACTGCACATGACAATTTCCCTGGTACATGAACCTTCACAAACTGTAATCACCGAATTAATTCATTCATGGAAAGCTTCATAACAATGACTCATGTTACCCATGTGGTTAAGGGAATCAGATTATAAACAACATTGTCTCTATTGTCTCATCTAAGTTTAACACATAGATTATTCCATGTGAACAGCCTCACTCTTCTTCTCTCACTATTTATACTCAACTATGAGTGTTGCGTCTATGCATCCTCTGAAATTCTTCAAATGGGGTTCAAAGGCGGTTATCAGAGGCTTCAGAGTGAAACCGATAGCACTCCAAATCTTCTGTCGTCGTGTTCCAAGAGATTGAAATCATGTTGTATTTCTACGGTCTCATTGTCGAAGAGGGTTGTTGAGCTCTGTAGCGAGGTAGTCAGCACGATGAAGGTTGAAGATATGGTTTGCCCTACTATTGTTTTTTCGTCTCAGTGGGGACTTCCAGTTGTTGCTCATCATTGGATGACTTGTAAGAGGATAGGCTGATATGAGAATAAGCTTTGATTTTAAGAAATTGGTTTATTAGTTGCTTTTTTGGTTCGAGTTAATGTATATCTTTATGCTATTGTTGTCTCATTGCCTGTTATTGAATTTTGCATACAACCTATGATATATGGGTGGAACGATTCTACTATTGTTGGTCACTCAGTTTATTTATTCCGATTTGCTGCCATCTGCCTTGCACCTTGTTTGGATACAAGGGAAATAGGAGAGAATGGAAGATAGGAGAATCCATTCATTCCATTTGAAAAGTTTTTAGCAGGGGAAGCGTCTCTCCTCATTTCCCTGAAAGAGTTTTTTTTCTAGAAATTACTGGTAATTATACAGAAATTACCTTTCGACATCAATTTATGCATAAGCCTCATTTAAAGTGGGCTTTGTCGCAATCAACCGTCTCCTGGTCAAAAATTTCCCCAAAAAACTCAAAATTATCCTTTGAAAACTTACATTCAAGGCACATGACTCATTTTTTTAAAAAAAAATTTTAAAAAATGTTTAGGTCTTGTTAGGATGCAACATATGTACGAACTTGATAAGCTTATTCTTGTTTTTTTAGTGATTGTGAGGTAGTTAATTGCAATAAAAATCTACTGATTGTGAGATAGTTAATTGCAATAAAAATCTATTTTAAATGTGGTTTATGTGTAAATTGAAATAGAAAGTGGTTTTTATATAATTGTCCTATTTTTAAGGTTGTTTTGTCCACTAGTTTGGATGAAATTATGAAGAAGGAAATTTCCTTACCTTTCTATCTATTCTTTTCCCCATCTTTTCTTGCTTTTCTTACCATAATGAAGTGCCAAACACAGTGTTAAGTCCCTTGCACTGTACTAAAATTCTGAATTTGTAAAGGACGTGAAGTTGTTTAAATGCATTATAACTAATTGCCTACTACGAAAACAGTTATTATATATCTTTGTTGTGTATATTCCACATTGACTGTTCACGCAATTATAGATCGTGATACTCGTGAGTACATATATATGAAATCTAGTATAAATATGATTACAACTATTTTAAACTAAGAGCATATATTCTAATATTAATTCTAAACTACCATCAATAGGGGTGCTAAACCGTATCTGTATCCGAAAAAATATATATAACCGCATCTATTAGGATACAAATATAGTAACTCAAATCTATAACCGATAGGATATGATTATGGATATAGTCTTATAATGAAATATTTGAAATATCCAATTCCGTATCTGAAATATTCGAAAACATATTAGTTATATTGTTACGATAGTTTTAGTCCTTAGATTATGGATTTGAGGTTAATTTTGATGATCAAGATGTCTAATCTTAGCTTTTTAGATATAATGAACATATTAATGAACTCCTTTGTATCATATGAACTATAATTTATTCAATACCATCTAGTTTTCTCATATTCGTTTTGTATCTGCATGCATATCCGTTTATATATCCGCATGTATATCTGTATCAGTATCTGATTTAACGTATATGGATATGAAATTTTCTTACCAAGGTATTGATGTAGAATACACTACGGATATAGTTATGGAGAAACAGAACCGTCAAAATCCCAAACGCGGGTCCAACCAAAGAAAATAATTTGTAATAGATAACGTGTTATATCTCTCAAACCGTACGTCGAAATTGGGCGAATTATATATATAAATCGTGTATTTTTTCAAGATGGAGTCAACTAAACCCAACGTTGTTCAGTTTGTCGCCATCTGTTTCACAAAGTTCCCTCCAGATTGAGAGATATTAGAGTTTTTGTCAGTTTTTTTATTATTTTAGGTAATTATTTAGGAGTTTATTTTAATTAGGAAGCAAATCCGATTTGATTCTAATTTTATTTTAATTAGGAAGCAAATCCGATTTGATTCTAAATTTGACCGATTTACCTCCCTAATCATAGCGGGTCTTTTAAGGAGAGTTTTCTTATTTTTTTGGCAAATTTCGGGTTGTAGTAGGAGTCTTGTTGATTTTCTATTTAAGCAGGGTATTGTAAGCTCTAGAGAAATAAATTTTTTTAATCAATAAAATTCCTCTTTAATATTTTCTTCGTGGATTCGAAATTCTTCATGGATTCAGAAATCGTTCTTTGTAGATTCAAAGAACACCCCTTAGTAGACTCCGAGGTTTTCATTTCTGTGATGTGTTAATTGGTATCAGAGCAAATTTTCCTAATTCGATGGCAAGCAACTGTTTTACGGGAAAATTAAAAGAAAAAAATGAGAATTGAATTTGTATTATTCTCTCTAACAGACTTAGAAAAAGAATTAATTATAATTTTCTCAATGTAATCTCCTTCTAACAAACTTAGAAAAAGAAATTGCAAATCTTCTCTTATCGGATTCCCGATTTACAAAAGAGAGAAAGATTGACGGAGATCATTCCCTTTGTTTAAAGCTGGGTTCTTCTTGGTGTCGATGGAATGCCACCCTCGAATGCTCGCATCGAGTTTGCTTTCCATTGACGATCCGAACGTTTTACTTCATTGGAACATGGTTTCTTCCTGATGCATGTCGAGGAGAACTTGCATGGCAAGTTTGAACAGAACTCTTAACGGGTTTTAGAACTCAGACCGAGTTTAAACTCTGTAATAGAGTTGATTTGAACCAAAAATTAATTTTAAGCCAAGTACCAAGGCTCTTTGTGTCTGAAGAATGCTCTTAGTTGAAGAATGCTGAACTTCTCCTCTGAAATTCCGATCAGAAAAGAATCTCTAGGAATTTCATATTAGAAAGACTTCTGCTGATCTCCAAAGGAATGATCCAAGATCCTCCAAAGCCGATCCCTGAACTCGGTTGAGTTGGCTCGTATTTATAGGGGGGTTAAGGGGTGTAACTGCCCCCTTAATCTACTCCTAAATGGGGCAGAAATCCCTCAAATCGTGGGGAGAAAACGGTTTCTGGAACCGTTCAACTCGTGTTTGAATGAGTCAAATGCCAAAACTGGCGTTCCGAGCACGAACTCTACATCCAATGGATGGGACGCAAAGTTAAGATTTGCATCGGGGCAGAAAACACAGTGGTTGTGCTGCGTTTTTGAACTAGGAACGCAAGGCTTAATCTTGCTTTTAGCTCTTAGAACACAGAGGTGAGTTCTCTGTTTTAGAAAAGAGATTGTTGACTTGTAATCTCTTTTATAGAGCGTTACAAAAATCATCGCTTTATAATCTTCGCTTTAGTTCTTTAAAATGTAGTTGTCAGATTGTAACTTTCGCAGTTGTTTGTGAAGACTATTGAATCAGAGCTTTCATCAGTTGTCGGGAAGGTCGTTGAATTGTAACATTTCTCGATCTACTTGAAAATCTTCCAATTGTAGCATTCATTTGCTGCTGTGAAAGTTATTTAATTGTAACTTTCATTGTTGAATTGTTAATGTGGAAGTCGTCAGATTGTAACTTCTATTATCGGTGTTTGATGGGGATCAGCTATCTATTATGATTTTTTTAGACAGCCTACAACAACGAAGATCCTATTTCTTGGACTGAGTTTGATGAGTTGAAGACCGACGTTAATCAGAATAAGACTATCATAGATCGACTTGCATCGGCAATGGAGCGTTTGAACACGGTGGGAGTTCAAAATCATGTTGATGATCGTCAACGACATGATCTGACTCTACAGGATGAATTCAACAGCGACAACGACAGCGACAATGACAACTATGAAGCCCCACGCCGTGGTGATGATCGCAGAGATTGCCGACAATGAGACAATTATGATGATAGAGAGTTCAAGATGAAGATGGATGTGCCATCTTTTAACGAGCAACTACATATCGAAGAACTTCTTGATTGGGTTGTAGTTGTGGAAAGGTTTTTCGAGTATATGGAGATCCCAGATGCGTGGAAGGTTAAGTTAGTGACTACCAACTTAAGGTGGAGCATTTGCTTGGTGGGAATCAGTATGCCCAAATTAATCCCATCAAGGACAGCCAAAAGTCAATAAGTGGGAGAAGATAAAAAAGTTTGTGAAAGCCCAATTCGTGCCAAGTGACTATGAATAATCTTGTTCGGACAATACCCAAATTGCAAATAAGGTGAAAGAAAAATTAATGAGTACCGTAGGAGTTTTATCGGCTATCATCCCACAACAATTTAAATAAGAATGAAGCCCAACAGATGTCTCATTACATAGGGGATTAATGATGGCGATTCAGGATTGTGTGTCTTTGCAGCAAATATATATTTTGGCAGACAAAGTTAGCCTATTCGAAAAGGTAGAGCGACAACTTGGACAAAATGATAGAGGAACATGGGTAGCTTCTGATGGTTCGGGCATGAACTTTAATCATGGCGGGAACAAACAATCTCAATTTGCGTCTGATCAAGATTCTATAGCTAAGAAGGGTACAAAACAGACAACAAAAACAACAAAGAAGGCTACACCACCGAACCCATATGCCAAACCCGATTCAATCAAGTGCTATAGATGTGGTCAATCTGGTTATCGATCCAATCAGTGCCCTGAAAGAAGTATATTGAATATGGTGGATCGTGGTGAAGAAGATATAGACCAAGATGACTCTGAAAACTATGGTGATGATGAGGTTGAATATCATGATGATGGGGATGAGCTCTTGTGTGTTGTGCGATGATTATTATTCACTCCAAAGATAGAAGAACTAACCCAGAGGCATAATATCTTCCGTACGAGATACACCGTGAAACAAAAGATTTGTGATGTTATCATTGATGGTGGTAGTAGTGAGAATATTGTCTCTCCGTATATGGAGAAATTAGGTTTGAAAACAGAGAAACATCATGTTTCCTATAAGATCAGTCATATTCATAAGGGTAATGACGTGCAGGTTGATGAGGTGTGTCGGGTGTCTTTTTCCATTGGTCGTAATTATGTTGATGAGGTGTTGTGTGATGTAATTGAGATGGATGCTTGTCATATGCTGTTAAGCAGACCATGATAGTTTGATGTTGATGCTACCCACAGGGGGAAGGATAATATTTATATTTTTAGGAAGGATGGTCGCCGAGTTGTGCTAATGCCTCTTACAGAGAAGAGACCAATCAAATCAGATGTTGCTAAAAAGAAGACATTTTTTATTATTAACAATGAAGATTTTATAAAAGATTTAAAATAGTCTAACGAGGTTTATGCTCTTGTTGTATCAGGAAACGAGGATTCTGCC